TGCCTGTATCTTCAGGGAAATCCCTCTCGAGGCTCCCAAGACAGGGATTTGTGGCTTGTCAAAGGGGTTGCCTTCTTTACCATCATGACAGGCCTTTTGTACCTCTAAAAAAGGTGTCAGGTTATTGTTTCCTTTTAGGCTCTGAGATCAGTCTGGTTTCTGAAAATACAACATTCCAGACAAAGCCTTGGTAAAATACCTGTATTTCCAATTGTCTATTAAAGAAAAGGGGAAAAGAACTTTATTGGATTTATGCAAACATTTTTTAACATTTATTTATTTATGCACAGAAGAGCTGGGGTGTAAGCCAGAGGTGGTGGGGGTGGTGGTGTGCTGCACCTCCCCCTGCAGTGACCTTTAGGGCTAATGGCTTTCACCACCGTCCCTAGGTCTGGCTGGGCAAGGAACCAGCATGCAGGGGGAGAACAGCAAAGCTCCCTGAAGCAGGGGGAGAACAGCAAACCCCCCGAGATAAGACGGAAGCCTGTTGAAAGATAACGACCACCAGGAGCCACCACAAGAATGCTGACCAAAAGGAACCTTATCTCGTCTCCTCAAACCTACAAACTTTATCCCTTCACTCTCTTTCTAAAACTTCTTCCTTCTCTTCTATAAAGGTCATTGATTGCTAAATTAAAGAAACATGAAATCTAGTAACAAGGATGACTCAAATGAAACACCACTAAACCTTGTGTAACAACAAAATTGTTAGTTCAATAATTGCTCTGTTATATGTTAAAATTCCTTAGCTTTGATCCTTAATGAAAAAGTGTTATTACATAAAAATAAGTGCACCTGTTATAATTAATAATAATTAATGAATTTAGTGGTTAACTAAGAGAAAATGTAATTATATAAATCAAAAGAAAAAACTAATGGTCTGACTGCTTAGGAATGTGCCTAGATCCAAATGTAACTCTGGGCATAAATCACTGCCTTGTCAATGATAAGTAAACCTATGAGCCAACTGGTTTAGTTCACTGATAACCGATCCTATGCCTTTAGAAAAACATATATATACTGGCCACTAACTTAAATAAAATACACTCAGACTTTCACTCTCTTGAAGTGTGTCTGTTTGTCATTAGCCGAATCCCTGACCACCCCGCGCAATCTCTGAACCCTGAAACGGCCTCATTGTCCATCGCTGTGCTGGTCTGCGGCAGTGGTGGTGGTGGTGGTGAGAGGATTCACCAGAGACAGAGAGGGTAACAAAACAGGCAGACTGATGAAATATACTGCTGAGGGGAGCAGTGGGTGAGACAGGAGAGGGGATCCAACTTAGGCCACCACAGTGTCTCTTCCAGGCATCTCCTTCCATGATGCTAAGTTCCTGGTTCAAGTTAAAAGTCAAGAGGCAAGGCGGCTCCTCCACACGTCTCTCTCCTGTGTGTCCTCCCAGTGCTCTCTGCACTGACAAACCTTTATGTTCTGAGCAAATCGTCCATCAGAATAGCCCGTCACAGCTGACACTCCTGGTGTCCGTCGCGTTGAGCCCCAGAACTTGCCGTCAGCCTCCCGGGTATCCTGCCCCTGGGACATCAGAGGGCGTCAGTGTCCGGCACTCTTTGGGGCATCAGCAGGGCAGGATCTCAGTGTAAAACAAGAGCTTTAGTTCAAAGAAAACAGATCATTGGTCATGTGGCGTGTATGTGCAGCCTATGTGTGTGCAGATTCCTGTACTAGGTATGGGCCCTTCCTCCCTGGCCCCCTCTCAGAAGGACAGAGCTAAGGTAGAGGACAGGGCACTGTCTGTGGTTCTCACTTGTGTGCTCAGTTGCAAGAACACTCAGGCTCAGGGAACAGCAATGAGGTTTCTTTAACAAACAGGAAAGCAGGAAAATAGAGTTTCTAAGGCCTCAGTGGCCGGCCGTGTCACCCCAGATAGTGTCCGCAGTGTCCATTAGTCCCAAATTAAGACTGTCCATGTAAGGTGGTACAGTCCTGCCATGGAGGCCCTAGAGCTGGTGGCACAGCCGCAAGCATTGGGCCAGGATCCAACTCACAGTGGCAGTGGGAGGTGCTCCCAGGGGTTGCTCACCTCTGAGGAGACACCCAGCATGCACAGCACAGTCTGAACGCTGGGCTGGACAGGGAGGAGGCAACAGCACTGGGAGGTGGTACCAGACAGTCAGCTGCAATGACAGGTCTCAAAGTGACCTTGCTGCTGTAGCCCCAGTGGGCTGCATGCCCTGGGGCGATGTGGGGGGACAGAGAGCCTCTGCTGCCAGATTGGCTGCCGCCTTTGTCCATGACACTGATGGTGGCTGGTGGTGAAGTGCCCACCCACTGTCACTCGCTGCTACTCCCGCTGCAGGTTGCAGTGGGCACAGCTGTCAGGGTGGCCTGGGCCCTGTCCTCAAGCTGCAGCCTCCTGGAGCCTACCAGGGCAGGTGGGGGTCTGTTCAAACCCAGCAGTTACCCTCCAGCTATCATCCCAAGCCCAGCGAGGTGGCCTCAGCGAAGCTGTCCTGTGGCACCCACTGCAGAATGACCTTGGTGCTGCCCAGAAGCAGCTCCCCTGGGGGAAGGGAAGGGGAGCCTAAGCCTTATGGGTTCCTATGTTTAACCCTGGCTTGCTCTGGGGAAGGGGCCCTCTGAAAGCTGCCTGCTCCCGGGCAGGAAACCCCTCTCTGCCACCACCTGTAGAGCTGTGCCCACCAGCCACCTGCATACTCAGGTGCCAAGGCAGGAAACCACCACTGCTGCTGCCAGCCTTTCAGAGTCCTGCTCACTGGCCTCTGGCTGTGCCCATTGGGGCAGCTGCACCAACAACGCTGGCATGTCCCCTTACTCAGGGGGCAGGGAAGAGCTGGGTAAGCCACAGGGATCTGGAGTCAGTGTCACATACTATAATATTATATACAAACCTATACACATTCACATGTATCTATTAATTAGTAAATCTATTAGTAAATATTGCTTGAAAAATTTGTGTTTGTAATTTGTATCAAACAAGTGAGAAATCCATCCAGGAATAGTGATAGGCCCTCCACATCTCTGCTTCACAGTCTGAAATGTTGGGTGACATCCTGACCCCTTTCACACAACTCAGATGTTACATTAGGAAATGCTGTAAAGTCCGTCTCTAAATATATCCAGATAAACTATTTCCTATTATTTTCCTGATCACACCCCATAAATCTACCAAATTTTCCATCCCAGAATCTGTGCTGGTTTCCTACATTTATCTTCCCACCTCTTACCCTGCACCTCTTGATTGTGCACAGCAGCCAGACTGAGGCTTCTAAAGAGAAGTTGTACCATGTTGCTCTCTCTCCAGAAAGGTCTGTTAGTTTCACATCTTACTCAGAGAAAAGATTATGAATTCCAAACCAATCTTCAGTGACAAGCCTAAATTTTTGGCAATTATTTCCTTTTATAGAAAAGTATATTTTTTTTACTTTGAAACATAGCAAAAGTGCAGTGTATCAGTTTAGTTAAAAATCCAGCAGCCAATCAAGTTTCCCTGTGTAAATACATTTAGATTCACACAATTCTACTCTTATTACATAATGCTTTTAAATAAAAACCATTAAAATCTTTAGTTAAATAATTCCACATCTGGATTAATTCATGGTAGTTTGGATATTTTTTAGAAATTCCAGCTTATTTATTGATTACTAACATGTAACATGTGACAATGTCCCCAGAGAAGAAGCTTCCTGTGTGTAGGGAGATGACAGTGTCATCACACCTGCTAGGAAGTGGGTCACTTGCACAGTCACTACTAGATTCTATCAGACCTGCTGTCATGCTGAGGCTTCCCCGTGAACAAAGTACAAGTGGTCACTGCCGGACCTGCACAGAAGACGGAGCTCACTCCTGACACCAAGCACCACCTGAATTGTGTGTTTGTGTTTCCTTGTTATGGCGCTTAGCCTTGGTGCTATTAAGCACAATGAGTCTTTCTTAATGAATGTGGTGGGTTAAAGCAAAAGGATATAACCTGGTCTCCTCAATCATTTACTTTTTCTCCACCTTTATAAAATTATTGATGAGACAATATAAGTTACAGGTTCACCAGCTGGAAAGACACAGTCACCTCTTAGGTCACCCCTGGCGTTTACGCAGGAGATTGGTTTCTCTTGGTCTCTCAGCATGACCATCCCTCAGCAGGGCCTTCAATATGGAGTTTCAAATGCTACCATTGCTGTCTCCTGGCTGGGTGTAGATTATTTTCCCTTATAATAATATTTAATAATTGGACAATAATCTGCTCAGCCTTTGTAGCCTCTCCATGGAATAACTTTTCATTTTTACCATTTCCTGCTGGCTGCTGTGCTTCTCTTCTGTCACCTTCTTCACATAACTGTGGTCCTTTCCTTTCAAAGGAGGAAGAATTTTTGAATGAGCCCCCAATTCTATGCCGCAATGTAAAATATTGTCCATAGTTGTAGTCAAAGAAGAGGTGAAATTGTGTATGGTGAGCTGAGTCATTAATAAATGGCCTTAAGATCTGAAGATACAAAATTCACCATCATGAATGGAAACTGTCCAGATATTGACCAAGATGTACAACCTCAATAAGCCATACACTTACAATGAGTTGAATCCAGCCATTTGGAAATTCTCATATGTTGTTATATAATTTGCTGTATCCTAGCAGGCACAGTGAGATGGTGGGAACGCTTAATCCATGATAATGACATAACTGTAAACAATTTCTTGCAAGACTTGATTCTTTAAAATTTGTGGGTGTTGGGCCTCTCTGGTGGCCTAGGGGTTAAGTTTCAGCACTACCACGGAGAAGGCCCACTGCAACAGCCTGAGTGGATCCCGGGCCAGGGAGCTGACCCACATGGAGCATCAGGCCTCTCCTATCTCTTCTGCTACTCCCCTTAGCAATGCAGTTCAGTATATCAGCCTGTTCTGCTACCCACTCTGTCTCTGGTGAATCCTCTCAACCCCTCCCCTCCCCACACCTCTGGCCTTCACCCCAGTTCTTCTACACAGAAATTTAAAAAAAAAAAAAGCTTTAAAAAATTGTGGATGTTTTATTAGGGAATTATAGATAAATCATAACTCAGTGTTGCCAAGAGAAAATAAAGGATAAAAGCACCAAGATTTGTTACTATCAGGAGAATTAGTTCAGAAGATGTCACTTTCTGGCCATGTGGTGAATATATAAGTGGTGTGAAAAAGTCATAATCTGCAGCATCAAGTACAAGATCCATCTTAGACCCAGCAAACAGCAGAGGCTGGGGACCCAGTGGTGGTTTAGGTGCAGCAAGAAACAATGGGGGACTCAACCAGCTGGAGTCAGGCTTTGTCATCAAATAAGTTTGATGCCAAACTAGAGAGGGTCCGTCCACCACCCAGCGCTGCCAGGCCAGGAAGCCTGGGCTGGTCTGCAGCCCTGGTCAGCAATAGGCACAGCCTGGCGGGGCTCAAGGGTTAGTTTGGAAGTTTGGCTCAATCTGGCCCTTCATCTGCTTTCTCTACACCCTTATATAAGTATTTCTTTTTTTTCCTTCTGACTTTTCCCTTTTCCATCCATGTTGCTGCAGGGGCATGAGTTATGTTTTCTGACCGTGGATGCTACTTCATTACACAGGGACACACATCACCTGTATATGTACATACATGTATACATGTAATCCCGGCTTCTTCTTGATTTGTCACCTGTCTGGGGCATTCAGGTGGTTCCCATAGCTTGGCTACTGTAAATAGTGCTGCAGTGGTGACGGGAGTGCAGGTCCCTTCACAGGAGAGTATTTATCCTCTGTGAGTAGATCCTCAGGGTAGAATTGCTGGGTCCAAATGGCAGAACCACATTTACTCTTTTAAGAAACCTCAGTACTGTTTCCAGAAGGGCTGGCTCAGTCTTTATCCAAAAACAATGCAGGACTGTCCCCTTTTTTCCATATCCTTGCCAGCACTTGTTTCTGGTCTTTGGGATATGGGCCATTCTCGCAGGTGTGAAGTGGTTTAAACCGGGGAATCATAAAGCCACAAAACGTGGGCAAAAAGAAATCCTGTAACACTCAGGCCAACACAAGACTGTCTCTCACTGTGAAAGAAAATAATCATGAAGAAATTCAGGTGAATTACCTGAGTGTTAACATTATCAATGGTCCACTGCATTCTCAAGATGTCCTCCTGAAAGCATCCCCATCACCTAGTCCCAGCCTCTCTGCCTCAACCCCCACCCCCACTGCAGTCCTCCAGGATCTCACCTTTAGGGACTGACATACACTTCAGAGTCTGGGCACTATCGCTGCCCAGGGGAGAATGCAACAAAACTTGGTCAGAGATGAGACCACAGGAGGAACTGATGAGGGTGACTCCTCCATGGGCTCATCTACACTGTCCTCAGGGGCTCAGAGATCCAACTCCTGATCCACACTTACCTGCAGCCTGAGCATAGCTTCCTCCTTGTCCACCTGTGGGAAGAAACATCATGTGAGACCAGGCAGCAGCCAGGTCAGAAGTCCTGAAGGAATCTTCTAATCTGGGAGAAAAAGAAGTTTCCAGAACTGTGACTAAAGACCCAGGTCAGGACTGAGAAAAATGATGAAAGGAGGTGAGGGGGGACTGGACCAAATGCCCTCTGGGCAACACACGTGTGTGGATGGTACTTCCCATTAACCAGGCAGGGCAAGTTCTCCCTGGGACATGAAAGCCCCCAGTGGACAAGATCCCCCCCACTCCCTTCCCTACCTGAGTGCTTCTTCCTCCACATCACAGCTGCAGCCACCGAAGCTCCAGTGAGCACAGCTCCAAGGAGAACCAGGCCAGCAATTATGCCCGTGGTGGGGATGGAGGGTTGAGGAGGGGGCACTGGAAGGGAAAGGAAGGTGAGACCTTGAGCCCCAGGCCTCATCCTGACCCTCTGAAGCTCTCCAGAAGGGCTGTTGATGCCTCTGAGCAGAAGCTCAGTGCCTACATCCCCCTCCTCACCCCATCTCAGGACTCGGGGTTCCAGCAGCCCCTCATGCTGCACATGGCACGTGTATCTCTGCTCCTCTCCAGAAGGCACCACCACAGCCACCCACTTCTGGAAGTTTCCATCACCCCCAGGCCTGGTGTCCACCAGCTCCATGTCCTGGGTCAGGTCCTCCCCATCTCGCTGCCAGGTCAGGGTGATGTCCGCTGGGTAGAAGCCCAGGGCCCAGCACCTCAGGGTGACCTCATGGTCAGAGATGAGGTTGAGGGTCACTTGTGCTTTTGGAGGATCTAAGGAGAAGGGTCAAAAAATTCACACTTTGGGTTTTTCCTTCCTGGGCACAGAAGCAGCTTCACTGACCAACCTCAGAATGAACAAGACAATTGGTTTGGAGGGAGGAAGCACAAAACCCAGAAACCAGCCTAGTCTGGGGAATCTGGGATAATCAGGTGAGAGCCCAGTGTAGGAGGACGCAGGTCTCTAAGGAGAACACAGACTTTTGCTCCTGACCTGGGTGGAGGGTGAATGACACAGAAAGGCAGGACTCAGATCCAGAAATGTTCTCAGACCAAAAACAAGCTCTTGAAAGAAAAAGTCATAGTTCCCAAGGTGGCTGCCAGGTCAAAAGGATCCAGGGAGAGTTATTTCAGGATGGCCTCCCCTCCCTCAGGAGAGACTGGATTCCTTAACTGTCCAGAAAAGTGGTGTCTTCTGGGCGAGTCTCTCTCTAGCAGAGAACATGAAACCCAGGGGGACTCTCCCTCTCTGCCCAGAAAGCAGCTGCTGTTCTGCCCATGATTCCATTTCCCTGTGGGGCGCCAGGAGAGGGGAGGTCCGAGGCCTCGTGGCCCCTCTTACCTGCGCGCTGCAGCACCTCCTTCCCCGTCTCCAGGAGTCTGCGGAGCCACGGGAGGCACCTGCTCTGCACACTGTGCCTGACGCGCTCGGCCCTGCCCGCCGCCTCCCACGCGCGCTGGGTGATCTGAGCCCCCGAGTCCGCGGGGGTCCAGGAGCGCAGGTCCTCGCTCAGGGAGATGAAATCCGCGCCGTCGTAGGCGAACTTTTCATACCCGACAAGGAGGTTCTCGTGGGGCCCCACTTCACAGCCACACATTTTCTGGAGAGTATGAGACCCTGAGCCCCCCACCCGCAGTGGTCAGCCCAGAGGTCACCAGAAATCACCCCGCCCTCTATCCCTGAATAAACCTAAACTGAAAAATCAAGGGACAGGCAGCAAAGACCTTTCCTGGTGGAGAGGCTTTGTTTATCCCCAGCCTCGAGTTGTCAGTCTGACTGTGAGACACGGGACACCCCAGGACATATGGTGGAATGGGGGTGGTAATGTCATCCTGGCACCTCTCCATGAAGCTCACCATCCTCGCTCTGGTTGTAGCGGCCGCGCAGGTCCTTCAGGAGAGCTTTGAACCACTGTGCCTTATACCTTTGCCTCTGAGTCTCCTTGTCCAGGTCCTCCTGCCCCACCTGCCCCGCCCAGGGCGCCCGCGGCTCCGCACTCTGGCCCGGAGAGTCGCTGTCGAACCGCCCGAACTGCGTGTCGTCCACGTAGCCCACGGCGATGTAGTGGGGCTCCCCGAGGCCAGGCAGGGACATCGCTGTGTGGAAAATCCTTAGGGAGTGGGAACCTGGGGGCAGGGAGGGACACAGACTCATGGGGGCCAGAGCACTCAAGGGAGGCGGGAGGGACAGGAGGGGCCAGAACACAAGGGGCCTGAAGGGATACAAGACTTTGGGGGGAGATGAGCCTTTCCTGGGGTCCTGCACCTGCAGTGGGCTCCTTGCTCCTCCCTCCTGGAGCAACAGTGTCCAGCTGGACACGCACTCACCTGCCCATGTCTCCATCAGGGCCAGGGGCCCCCAGAGCAGCAGCAGGATGGTGAGGGGCATCATACTCTCATCCAGGAGACTTTGTAACTGGAGCAGGATGATGCTGATTGTCTTCCCTGGACACCCCCCAGGAAATGGGGAGAGAGAATGGGGGTGAGTATGGGGTCATCAAGGCTGCCCCACCCCACAGATCCTGTGAGAGGGAGACATGGTGCTGTAACAGTGTGACATCCACAGAAAGGGGAGGCTCCAAATTCCCTTCCCCACCTTAGGGAGGAGTGGATTTGGGCTGGGAGAAACAGCAGCCTGGAGGAATGAAGAAATTAGTAGTATTTTCAGATAATTGTGAATATTGATACTAAATTAAAACTTTACATGTGGTAGTTCCTGGAATGTTATTTGCAAATTGAAACCTGAAATAATATCAGGGGATATTTCCTATTCTGTTACATTTCCATAGGCCTCTTGCATTGGTTGGAACTTGTGCTAATTTATAGCTTTTATAAGGTGATACATTGTTTCACTAAGTTACATAGATCTTCAGTGCTAATTACACTGGAATCAAATTATCAAAAAATGTTTTATTTTTTAATCACAAATCCCAAAAGAAAAATTTGTACTGATTTGTACTGTAAGTTGTCAAGTAGTGATGCACTCAATTTTTCATGACTCTGATTTTCTCTGAGAGCTTAAATTTTATTTTATCAGGCAAAATTACTGTCATTTGCCAATTGTTGATTTTCTTCAAGAAACAGACATTGAGATGGGGTGCAGCAGCCATAGTCATGGCAAACCACGGTGCAGGAAAGCACAGGAAAGCCCAGGAAAGCATGCTTCGATCTCGCCATTTTAGAATAGGGACTTTCCCCTCATCAAAAACTGCTTGAAACTGGGATAAGGCTGACCCCGGAGCCAGAGGTGAGCTGGGAAACACCCCCATGCCAGGCCCCTTCTGGCCAAGACTTGGAGCCCAGAGTGGGAGTGGGGAGCGGGCAGTCACAGCAGGGGCAGATCTCGGACAGGCACAGGAAAGTGCGCCTCCAACTCACCCTTTAGAAGAGGGACCTTTGCCTCAACAAAAACTGCTTGAAACTGGGAGAGAGGCGACCCCGCAGCTAGAGGTGAGCTGAAGGTCCCCACAAGCCAGGTCCCGCCAAGCAGGGAGTTGGAGCCCAGAGGGGGGAGCCAGCAATTTGGAGTCTAGCAAGCAATCCACCCACCACACCTCCAGGGCAGTCTGTGGGACTTCAAGACACACCCTTGGAATTAAGTAAATACAGAAGGAGGAGATACTCTGTGACAGTGACTATCAACATATTCATAGTACCACTGCCCTACGGGACTTCTGTCATAACAGTATCTGACTTGATTGGGCCACCGGTTTCTGACATCCCAGAAAGAGCACACCAAAAAGATGCCGGCCAATACCAGCGACACTGTCCCAATGCATAGGAAGAATTAGAAGACAAGCAATAGGGAGAAGAAAAACTATAAGCAACCAAGAAAGTCCTCAGGGGGGAGACACACCACAAAATAAAAATCACCCACCAGACTGCAACAAGAGTGACTTGGAAGAACTTCTGAGCCTTCCAGACAGAGAATTTAAAATTGCCATGATTAAAAAAATGACAGAAGTCATTAAGGAAAACAACAATAAGGGAAAAATAATCAACGATCAGAAGAATGAAATTGACTCCCTAAAGAGGGAAATGCAGGAGATCAAAGGATTAATAGAAGAGATAAAGAACTCTGGGAAAAGCAATGACAGCAAAACAGATGAAATGGAAGAACGAATAGGTACTCCTGAAGACACAGAAATAAAAAGAACCAAAACAGAAAAGGAAAGAGAAGTATGAATAAAAAAGAATGAAGAAAGACTTCGGGAACTCTTTGACTCCATGAGGAAAGGAAATATAAGAGTTATAGGAATCCCAGAAGGAGAGGAGCGAGACAAAGGAACAGAGAAATATTCAAGGAAATAATTGAGGAGAACTTCCCAAACGTGAAGAAGGAGATGAAAATAGACATACAAGAAGCAAGAAGAACACCAGACTTCCATGATGAAAGGAAAAATACAGCAAGACACATAATAGTAAAGCTCCCAAGAACCCAAGACAAGGAAAAAATAATGATGATGGCAAGAGGGAAGAAAGAGATAACATACAAAGGAAAACCAATCAGGGTGACATCAGACTTCTCTGAAGAAACACTACAGGCAAGGAGAGAGTGGAGGGACATAGTCAACAGACTCCATGACAACAAATGCCAACCAAGAATACTCTATCCCACAAAACTTTCCTTCCTCTATGAAGAAAGAATCAGGATCTTCCCAGACAAACAGAAACTCCGGATTTTCATTGGGACTAAACCCCCACTCCAAAAAATACTACAAGGATTCCTAAAGCCAGAACTAACAGAGGGATGAATAAGAATAAAACAAGACCAAAAAAAATTACTAAAAAAATACATAAATAAAACCAGAGAAAAGTCTAACAAAATGGCAAATGCAGATGCTAACATGTCAATATTAACTCTAAATGTAAATGGACTAAACTCTTAATAAAAAGACACAGAGTTGCAGTCTAGATTATGAAACAAAACCCAAAATTTTGCTGTCTCCAGGAAACTCACTTAACTACAAAAGATAAAAATAGACGGAAAGTAAAAGGATGGAAAGCAATCCTACAAGCAAATGGACCAAAAAAGAAGGCAGGAACAGCTACACTTATATCAGATAAAACAGATTTCGAACTCAAAAAGGTAAAAAGAGACCCAGATGGTCACTACATTATGATCAAGGGGACAATACTTCAAGAAGAAATAACACTCATTAACATATATTCACCAAATGAAGGAGCACCAAAATAAATCAGACAACTATTATCATCTCTGAAAACAGACATCAGAGAAAACACATATGTAGTAGGAGACTTCAACACACAACTATCAACAATGTATAGATGAACGAGACAAAAAATAATTAAGGACACTAAAGCTCTAAACAAGGATCTAGAGCTAATGGGCTTAACAGACATCTA